GCCACGTGAGAGGGGCGCCCCTCCCCTTGCCCAAACCGAATTGGACTAGGGGAGGGGGCCGGCCCCCCTCTCTCTCCCTTACCTTTCCCTCCGGTGGAAGAAAGGAAGGGGGGGGGGCGAATCCTACTTGGACTAGGAGTCCAAGTAGGACTCCCCCTGGCGCGCCCAAACCTGGCCGACCTCCTCTCTCCCTCCCTCCTTTATATACGTGGCCAAGTGGCACCCCAACAGCACAACAGACAACACAAGTTGATCTTTTAGCCGTGTGCAGTGCCCCCCTCCACAGTTACACACCTCAGTCATATCGTCGTAGTGCTTAGGCGAAGCCCTGCGTCGGTAACTTCATCATCACCTTCGCCACACCATCATGCTGACGAAACTCTCCCTCGGCCTCAATTGGATCAAGAGTACGAGGGATGTCATCGAGCTGAACGTGTGCTGAATGCGGAGGTGTCGTACGTTCGGTACTTGATCAGTTGGATCGCGAAGAAGTTCAACTACACCAACCGCGTTATTGAAACACTTCCGCTTTCGGTCTACGAGGGTACGTGGACACACTCTCCCTTCTCGTTGCTATGCATCACCTAGATAGATCTTGCGTGATCGTAGGATTTTTTTTTGAAATTATCGCGTTCCCCAACACTCAATACTCTTCCTCCTAATAAAAGGGTTGTTGGTTGTAAATGGATATTTACCTTGAAACAAAATTCAAAGGGAAAGGTAGAAAGGTATAAAGCCAGGTTAATGGCTAAGGGGTATAGTCAAACTTATGGAGTGGATTATGATGAGACCTTTGCACCAGTGGCGAAAATGAACACCATTAGAGCTCTCATATCTATAGCTGCAAATAATAAGTGGAAATTATTTCAAATGGATGTTAAAAATGATTTTCTTCATGGGGATTTGCATGAAGAGGTTTATATGGAGATTCCCCCAGGGTTTGGTACACAAGAGAGGGTGAAGTGTGTAGGCTGAAAAAATCTCTATATGGTTTGAAACAGTCACCCAGAGAATGCTTTGGAACATTTAGAAATGAGATTTGTTCTATGGGGTTTAAACAAAACAATGCCGATCATACCCTATTTTACAAGCACAATCATGATAGAGTTACTGTCCTTATTGTATATGTTGATGACATAGTCATTACAGGGAATGATGACGGTAAGATCTCCTGGTTGAAGAAGGCACTCGCAAGATCATTTGAAGTTAAAGACATGGACTATCTTCACTATTTCCTTGGGATCGAAGTAGCATATGGTGTACAAGGTATTTATCTCTCACAAAGGAAATATGTGATAGATTTACGCAATGAAACTGGAATGTTAAATTGTAAACCAGCAGCCACATCAATTGAACTTAATCATCGCATAATTGCTGACTCTGGGGATTCTGTGGATAAACAATAGTACCAGTGATTGGTTGGGCGACTTATATACTTATCACACACTAGACCAGATATTGCATATGTCGTAAGTGTGGTGAGTAGATGTATGCATGACCCATGGTCTATTCATATGGATGCAATAAACAGAATTCTTAGATATCTTAAGGATTGGCATGGAAAAGGAATACTGTTTTCTGCTCATGGACATCTGAATATTGAGGGACATACCGATGCTGATTGGGCTGGGTGTTTAGATGATAGAAGGTCTACATCAGGTTATTGTATGTTTGTTGGTGGCAATCTAGTTAGTTGGAGGAGTAAGAAGCATAGTGTAGTTGCAAGGTCTACGGATGAGGCTGAATTTAGAGTAATGACATCTGGGTTATGCAAGTTAATGTGGTTAAAAATGCTACTAACAGAACTTCATTTGCTTGGTGGTGTACCACTCCAACTATATTGTGACAATCAAGCTGCATTTAACATTGTCCACAATCCAGTTCACCATGATAGAACTAAGCATGTAGAAATAGATAGACATTTCATCAAAGAAAAACTAGATATGGGGATTCTCCAGGTTACTTATGTTAAGTTTGTAGATCAGTCAGCAGATGTATTGACAAAGGGGTTGAATGTTGTATCTGTTAAGAATTGTAGCAAGATGGGGCTTATTGATATCTTTGCCCCATCTTGAGGGGGAGTGTTGGTAGGGCTTGTAATTGTGGGGCCGTAGAGGGTGAAAACTATAAAAGCACCTGTATATACATCTCACAGCTGGGAATGAAAGAGATAGCTTTCTTCTTGTGACCTTCCTCTCACCTGAGCTTCACCCAGGATCTGCAAGAGCAACCCATGTCAATTTCCTTCTTTCTTTCTCAACTTCCCACCAATACAGACACATCATTCTAGTAAGATCATCTCAACAGAATATGGGAGCTTAAATACACTCATCAAAAAGGTATGTATAACCCGAGGGATTGATTTGATAAGAATTTCCTTACTATAGGATGCTATGTATCTTTCTCTCCAATCGATAAGCCTTTTACTAAGCCTGGATTGTACATTCTATAACCTTTCTTTATACATTCTGCCTTGTGGCACAGGCAGCCCAAGATACTTGGGGTCGAGAACTTCTTAAGTGGTCATCCAAACCCATCATCACCTGAAGTTCTTTGTTGGAATCATTTCTCTTATGCTCATGGGCTGCAAGTTTGTATAGATTGTCCCAACCTTGGCATCCACGAGCAGCATTGCAACTGCTCCTATGCCATCCATGTCCAGGTCTGGACAATTATCTTCCTCCATCTCTTGCCCCCTATTCCATGAAGCATTGGCTACGAGCCACTTACCAAAGCAGGAAGCACTTGGCTCATGCTCCCCAGTGTAAACATGCCCCATCTTTGCCACAAACCTCATGTAAATGTGGAATGTTCTCATAGTTTGCATGAAAGATCAGCATCTCATCTCCCTCGGTTGTATTCTAGCGAAACAAGGGAGCTCCTTAATGATGTCAAGCAACATATGAACGTAGGCAAACATACTTTATGTGTTCATGTTAACATGTACCAACTTCCTCACCTTCCTTGCAAGAGTAGTCACCAAGTTAAGATGCAACTAATCTAGTGTCACACCAACATTCCTTGTAATGCTACCATACTTTGCCGGCAGAAATCCAAAAATCTAGAAGTTCTAGGGCTCCTCATACATGATGTGATACTGACAATCAAATTGTACCATGAAAAATAGGATGTCCTCCACGATCCTGAAGCGCACTTCATGCGCCACCGCCCAAGCAAACTACATCGTAATTTGCGACGAGTTCTGACCAAATGACTTGGCAGTTAGAAGCCTTACCAACACCATCCACTTCACCCCACTATTCGGATTGTTCAAACATTTGGTCCTTGTGAACACTCGCATTGCCTTTCTCCTTCAGATCAAAGACTCTGCAACACTCCAAACCGGGCTCAAGCATAATGCCCAAAATGTTGGACTCTTCCTTCCCCTTAGTAGAGCCATTTGGTCTTCTCACGGTGTGATACATCTCTTATGGACTCAAACCAATCTAGAACTCTAAGCAAACCGCTCGCCAAGGCCGGGAAGCTGGACCAACCAACCCCATGATCAACCTGAACTAAATGTTCATGGAGAACCAGTTCACATCACGAGGAAAAAGCTTGAAAAGAGAAGCCCTTGTCGGATACAAAAAATGGCCGACATAGTACTGAAACCCTAGAAACCTAGGCATCTTCTACACACAAATAGTTTCTTTTTGAGAAAAAACAATAGGCTTTTTTTACGGGAGAAAAACAAGGGTCGCGCTAACTGTCACACGTGTGACAGAAAGGGAGACGCACCACACGTCTCTAATGTAAACAGATTGTCACGTCATCGCATGCATGCATGCAGGAATCTTTTTGGATTTTTAGTTTTTAAAATGTTTTATCTCTTAAACGAAAATTTCGATTGAAAATCCGTTTTCACCATTAAATCCCTCGCGATGAGATCTTAGAAACTAGATCCCATGTTAATATGTTTTGATGAAAATTTTTTTGGATTAAAAGTTGCCATGTCTATTGCATATGAATTGCCATGATGTTTAATCTGAAGTTGCCATGATATGTTTCAGCTATTTTCTTCTATATTTAAAAGTAAATTTTGACATTTATAAAACGGAGAATTAAGAAACTAGACTTGCCATGAACCATAAACTAAAATTGCCATGATACATGCACGTAAAATTGCCATGGTTCATACAAAAATTAATTTTCATGGTCAAAGTACTGGAGTTGCCATCATCAAAATACTAAAATTGCCATGATCTACAAACTAAAATTGCCACATGGCAACTTTAGTTTAAGCCCTATGGCAACCGCAGTGTAAACATCGTGGTAATTTCTGGCAAAAAAAAATTCGTCAAAACATATCAACATGGGGCCTAATTTTGAAGATCTCGTCGAGACGGATTTAATGGTGAAAGCGGATTCTTAGTTCACTTTTTTATTTAGGAGATACAACATTTTTAAGCCAAAAACCAAAAAAAATTCTGCTGATGTCATCTATTCATACGTTGCAAAATGAGTGATGATAGAGGCGTGTGGGCGATGTACAAACACCCACACGTGTGGGCGTTAACATTTCCGAAAAACAATAGGCTTGTGTTTGTTGGGGAACAAAGTTAGTCTTTTTTTAAGGGGGCGGGAAGAAAAACATAGTCGGTGGAAGCCCATTGTCTCTCAGAAGCGCAGTGGCCTCACGACTTCCACCGAGCCCAAAGACGTAAAGCCCGGCCCAAGTGAATCGACTCGCCAGCAACCAGCCAGGTCAGCCTTCAAACTAGGGTTTTGCCCTCCCGCTCCGAGAAAGCAAACAGCTCGAGCTCCTCCGATTCCGCCCGCCTCCGTTCCTCCGCATCTTCC